TTTGGTAACGTGGGGTCGGATCCGACCCGGGTACTTTTCTGCTATTTTCAGACGGGTAAAAAATGTTACTAGGTGTACAGATTAATTTGTGGTCTTGTTTTCATTGATTTGTTGTTTATTTACAAAAACACGAAATATCATTTAGTCTTGAAAATATTCCCTACGCGTATATATGCCATTTCACGGGCAGTTGGCGAATCCTCTGACGAAAAACTGATGCTGGTTTTGAATAAAATATTACTTGTGGGGGGTCACGAATTAATTTGTACACCCAATATTGTCTTGAACCTGTATTTTTGTTTATTTTAGGGATAATAATTGAGTCATATAATACATGATAATATATTTTAAACGTTTACTAAATAATAAAAAATATTTTAAAACAAGAATAATAAAAAAATAATCAAAAATAGAGTGGAGTCAGCGCAAAAGGAACTATAATTTGGTTCGGATACGACTCGGACCTTACCTTTAGAAGGGTTAATATACATCAAAATAGGTACAGAAACGATAGAAATAAAATTGTACCGAATTACAAATACTTAAGCAGCGATTGAAACATTGGATAAAAGTCGACGGTACAACTTACAACTGTGTCCAAACCTAACCTTAGGATTATAATGGCGCAACGAAAAACAGTGATACTTCTGGTGGATAATTCAGCATAAACGTGCATTGTTTCTTGAAATACAGTCATTTAACCCTAGAAATCCAGGAATTATAAATCGTCTCTAGAACCACGGGCAATTTCTCCTGTCGTCAATTAAGAATGAAATTGTTGTAAACGCATGTGGTCTCTGTACACGGATGGTGCAACAGTGGCAGCATAGAGCGAAACGTGTTCGTCGCAAGATAATCTGAATCCCCCGTGAAAGAGCGTACTATGCGATTTTAGATGATCGTTAGTCGACACGGATGTTCAATCCAACGTTATCGTTCCAAGATGGCGGGCGGGTAGGGGTTACACTAAAAGGCGATTCGCTCGGATGTAAAAATACCCCGTGTCTCGTTTGTAGATTTACATACACGTTTGCTGAACTGGCCTCTCTCGGAATGAATATTCATCGAATATTCCCGGGCACAGGCGGAACGGAACTTTCGTGGGGTGGCCGCCATTTTAATCGGATCAAGGAAAATATCTTAACGGTTGCGTCGTTATCGTCTCTTTTACGCGCGGCATGCATAATCGAATGGGGGGATTTTATTCCAGGCGACAGCCTGTATCCCCGGTAATGTCACGGTGAAAACTGTCTATTAACTTCCAGGCGTGTCTATAATCCTTTTCGCGCGAAACTCTGGCTTACACCCCCCCCCCTCCACCCCTGGAATTATTCAGTAACGAGATTCGAAACATTTTCTGACTGACGCAATTACTGGAAATATGGACATCATCCGATTCCAAGGGCAGTAATGGCCTCTGGAAGAAGTTACGGTTCTTTTCTCGTTAAGTCGCGATCAACTATCGATGGCTGACTTTAGTAAAGATCAGATAAAATCATCGAAATTGGTGTAGGTTAATGGCACGAAATTAGACAATACGTTTTTCAGGAATATTAAGAAGACAGGAGACAGCAATCGAGAAAGATTTGAAACTTTTGGAAACACCCTTGTCTCGATGATTGTCACGATATTAACTTCAGTATATAGTAATTATAAGTTACATTTAAGCTTCGCTGGTAAAGTGTCTAGTTCAGAGGTGGGCAAGTTCTTCGTTGATAGGAGTCATATATAATACTTTTCATGTATTTCTGAATGTTCAAGAACCACAGAAAATATTATTTTACATACTACATTACTATAGAATACTACAATAATATAAAAGTTTCGGAAAAATGACAATGAAACCCAATACAGTAAATCATCGATTAGTATTTGAAGGCTCCTCGACCCAGACTGTTCAGACGTTATCCCCACCATGCGAGTTTGTCTGGTTCTACACTAGAACCCCCACCATAGTAGAGATGTCGTCTAAACACTCAGTACCGAGGAGTCTTCGGACACTGATCGATGATTTACTGTATTTTCTCTGGAGCTGCGTAGAGTCGCTTCTGAAACTACAGAGTCTGGCAGGATCAGTTTAAGGATTCACCTTCATTCTCATCTGTCTATCCCTATTCTTCCGAAGCTTGATTTATGTACACGAAAACGTGAACCTCTTTCGACCCTCACCAATTTATGAGACTATTTATTCAGGAAGAATCGATCAATATCGTTTGCTCAGTGTCCAGTGATGTATAGACATTCACAAAAATAGTCCAACATTCTAATCTCACGACAGCAAAAACTTATTCAATCAAGACTCGACACTTCGTCGCCCCGGTAATTGGATGAAAACGCCGTGTCGGAGGGTCGTGAGAGCGTGGCGTGTTCGCGATTGTCGCCGCGTTAGAGGACGCGACCGCGGAAGGATATTCGAGTGTCGACTCGGTCGTGGGGATGAGTGGGGCGGGGGGGAGAGGCAAGGAAAAGTGACGGATGCTCGGGGGCGCGGAAACACACGCCCCTTTGAGGTGAGAAATAAGCACGAAACGCGTGGAATCTCTGTCCTCCTCCGTGGGCGACGGTAAAGGCTGATGAAACGGCGTGGGTGCGACGTTACACAGAAACTGGGTTTCATACTCGCGCCTCCCAGACCATTCAAATTGCGTTTCAACTATTTCTTGTCGTTTTGCGCGCGCGGCGCAAAGGCGGGAGATTAATTAAATTCGTTAATTGCAAGATGCATTTAGCTCACGCTGCCTTCTCGACACTCGGCCTCTCCGACCAGTCTCTCTTCGTACTTTTCGCTTTCTCTCTTGCAACCGTCGCGTGTACCCACCTACCCCGAGAGTCACGACGCGTTCGTCCCACCCCTTATTCTTCGCGCGCTGCCGGCGTCACCACGTGAATTTCGAAAGGCCACCCGACAAAAGGGGTAAAAGGCCCACTTTGCACGTCCATCCGTTGTTTCTTCCTGCACACGAAACACTCTTGGTTCTTTTGCACCTGGCAAAGTTAACCCTTTTGTGGCGGGCACCGTCTAGCTGGACGCGACGACATGTTTCCCTTTGATTTTTTTGACACCGTAATGCTTCGCGTAATTTTGTTAAGTAGTGTAATGTTCTTCTTTCTTAGAGCGTGCTTAGATGGTGTACTATAATAAATTGTGATATCTTTTTGAAGTATCGAGGAGGTTGAGACGCGCCGAGACAATTTTTTATCGCTGGACCTTGTTAAGATAAAGTCGAGAGTATTTTAGGAATTATAGTATGTACTATTATAAGTAACATGTGAAATTGAAGGGAAATATGGTGAAAACAATCCTGAAATTTTCGATCCTTATGTATTGTGGTTGAAATAAAAAGCAACCACTTTTTTTCTGGGGAAATATTATTTTTCATCACAATTTCAGACACGGTATACTTGGTTCGTTTTTATTTTAACCACAATACATTAGAATTGAAAATTTTAGGATGGTTTCATAATTACGCCACGCAGTGTAGTAAGTACGGTACAGATTACAGAAGAAATATCCACGCTACGTGTTGATTCGGATAATATATATTTAAAGTTGCATAATTTCAAACACCGTGTGTAATAAATTATCACTCGAAGTGTATATTTATTTTCTCTGTGTCTGTCAATCGAGCATGCTCTTGCGGGTTCGATCACCAGTTCAGGGTTCGGCAAAAAAAGAACGGAAAGTAATTTGGATTGCAAAATATCCCCTCGAATGTTTCCGTGTAAAACATCGGTCCCGTTGAAATTTCGTCGGTATGTTTGTTGTTTCGTTTCATAAATCACATTCGGTAAATTGACGAAAACCGAAGCTCCGTGGAACGATCCCATCATTTGCGGCCGTTTTTCCCATTAAATTCAACAGAAGCTTATCGATTTTTACAAAACGCGCGTCCGCCGGTAAAAACAAGTTAACCGTGGCGGCATCGTGCGTTTCCCCCGATTAACGAGTACAAATATTGTTGAAGCACTCTTTGGTGTTTGCGGACACAGGAATTAATGCGGCACTCGAATTCCACCCCTCCATTTCATCCCCGCGGCATTAAACACCGACGCGACTGGAACACTATATGGGGCGGGCTGTCGCGGGACAAAAATATTAAACTGTTCGACTGTTTTGTCACGCGTCGATGCTTTTTTTCAATTTCTCACAAACATGTAACTGAAAAACCGTGTATATTGCGTTCATGCTATTTATCTGCGCAATGGATTCGAAGTAAATGAATCACTGGCGCAATACTGGATCATATCTCATTGCGACACTTCGTGTACACGTATTTCCACGAATTTAATTATTCGCGGTATAATTCGAGATATAATAGTTTGTTCATGTTTTTTGGTGATGTAGAATGTGTGTAGAATTTTATTGCCTCGATCCACCTGAGATAATGGATCGTATGAATTGCAGTAAAAATACGCGAGATCCGCGAACCTATCGATCCTTCCAATACAACAAATACCCAACAGGAAGATCAAACATCTATTATTTGGTATTTCCTACCTTTTCGAGTACTCAAATTGGACAAAATATTACTTGAAAACGGATGAAAATAATAATGTTTCTTTATCTTGAACGGCGTTTGCTGTATATTACTTTTATCCCAGCACTGGATACAAGCTAAACTGTCAGCTTATGTAAGAAGATCAGTTTTCCTTTTTTAACACTCCGTAACCATTACGTTCGCGATTACCCCGCGTTCCTGTGTACTAGACTACGGATTTTTATCCAAACTGAAATTTTCTAAAGTAATTTGTGAAGGCAGGAGCAAACGTAGGAATTTAATTTTCCTCTTAAGTGTCTTATTGGGTTCAAAACAATAGTCTTTTATTGTATTTCACAGAGCCTTATAGGCTGTAAATGCATAAAATCCGCAGTCTAGTGTTTACTCTATTCTCTCCCCTAATCAGGCTAATAAGAGACGGCGTGGGTGGCCGTTGTTTATCTGACCAGACACTCCGGTTCAAGTGACAGAATACACGTACCTGGGTGTTTTGATTCACAGAGGAGGACTTGATGCACGGGGGTGGTGCTGGTATCGGCGGTGGTTCTATGGTCGGCCAGAACTCAATATTTGGGTGCTCGGCTGCAGGACACAGCGGGGTTAATCAGCTCGGCGGCGTGTACGTGAACGGCAGACCGCTGCCGGATTCCACCAGGCAGAAGATCGTCGAATTGGCCCATAGTGGGGCCAGGCCCTGCGACATCTCCCGGATACTGCAAGTCAGCAACGGATGCGTCTCGAAGATCCTCGGCAGGTCATACGAGTGAGACAGTGAAATGCAAGTTCGACGGAATGGTACCGTTGTCAACCGTGGAAATTTTCTTGTTGTTTACAGATACTACGAGACCGGTTCGATAAAACCACGTGCAATCGGCGGCAGCAAGCCGCGAGTGGCCACCACGCCGGTAGTCAACAAGATCGCCGACTACAAACGGGAGTGCCCGTCGATCTTCGCGTGGGAGATCCGGGACAGACTGTTGCAGGAAGGCGTTTGCAATAACGACAACATACCTAGCGTGAGTGAACCTTTATCGTTATACTTTCTACGGGAACTTTCATTCATTGTGCTCTTTGACAAGGGAGGAACATGAACTGTACCTCTTCGGTTTTACCAGTCTTTTGTAGGATGATAGAATATAAATCTCTAATGATATGTGTGAAGCTAATCACCATCAAGTTACTGCATCTTTGCTTAACCTGAGTAACATAGTACCACGTTCTCGAATAATAAAAAAGTATTAGTAGTTTAAACGATGGACTTCTGGCCCCAAAATATCAAAGATGGCTATTTCAAATTAATATACGTTTATAAATATACTTTCAATACAAAATATTTCTGCATTATATTACTAATAATAATCGTGTCGTACAAGAAGACCCTACTCTAGCTGAGAACCATAACAGATCGATGTCACTTCTCGCGGATATGATTGCATATCCACGTTCACTGTACTCGTCAAATTAAACACGTATACAGGGTGAATCTCTGGCTGCTAAGGTCGACAAGAAAGCCGCCTGTTTGGTCATTTAAGAGTCGCTAGCTACTCCCGCTGAGCAGTTTATGTGTGTGGCGGAAACAGAGAGAGTGATAGGCTGCTCAGCAGGGGTAAGCTACCGTTCACACGTTTATGGTCACGTCAGTTAAACGACAAACCAGGCAGCTTGCCTCTCGACCCTAGCAGCAATTAATTCACCCTGTATAATTAATTAAAAATGAAACAGCTAGTTGAGCGAAAGAAATTCGAAAGATTACAAACGCTCAAACTATCAGTTTCACTAAATTACCGCCATAAGTTTCACATTCAAAACCTCCTCTGTTTCCTATTTATGCGGAGAAAGGTCTTCAATAAAAAACAGTATATACAGTACCTCTCGGGCAAGAGAATTACCTACGAATAGATTAGTTTTCATCGAGCCCAGAGCTGGAACCCCGAAACATCAAAGAAGTGTTTCACGATGCTATCTGGAGAGCTCTCTCTGACAGACTAAAGTGACTATCCAATCGCCAAAAGGAGCAACGTCGAATGGTGTGCCCATAGAGGTCTCCGTTTGGCTCGATGTCGTCAAACATTCCAGTGATACCCTCGCGCAATTAGCAAATGACCCCAGCCTCTCTCCGCGGTGTTCAGTTGGCCAAAGAAAAGCGCAATGACTCCGCAGGCGTCCACCGCACCAGCCATGAAGGCGCTCGGTGGCGGCTGGGCCCTCCTCGCTCGGGGATACCACCCTGGACGGCGCGCGGACCCGCTTTGTATGTGGCGCGGTGGTTTATCAGGGTGCGCAACCCGGGGTCGGTACTTACCCGTCGGATCTGGCCACTCGACCCTAATCAAAGTCTCGTCAATGCGATCGCCTGGGAGGGGTAATCGGTCCATTACGCGGACCTCGTATTGTCCACCCTCCGCTGGATCGTGGTCCCCCTTCAGCGATTCCCGAAGAATCCTCTCCCGAATCGTTCGTCTTCCAAACATCCTTCCCGTCCTTACATCGATATTCGACCCCTCATACAGTTCCGCCTGCTCGATCGGCGGGAAATGAGTCCCTTTTTTTTTTTTAGAAACTGTTGCTAGGCCAATCCTGAAAGCAATTAATTACGGCTGGTCTCGTGTACGGTCGACGTCTTCTATTTTGTTGATATCAACTCTTGAATGATAGAGGGGCTAAGTCATTGGAGAATCAGGATTTGAAACTGTTGTTAAAGAGATATATTGATTTTTAAAATATAAGGGCGGTGTTTGATCTTTTTTATTTCTATACAGAGGAAGTATTTATAGAGGGTTGGACTGTAAAATGAACTCTGAATTTTTTGCAGTATGGAAATATACTTCTTGATATTGAACTTGACCAGTGAATAGGCAGTTATTGTCGATGGAGAAATTATCGTATAGTATTCCAAATGGTGGAGTTTTTAAGTGTTACTCAAGAACAGAGTCGAATCGATCCTTCTTGGGCTCTGGCCTACGAATACGAAAGACAGTTACCAGACTTTAATGAAGTGTTTAATCCAAGTCGAACATCTACTATCCTGCAACAAGTCACTCGAGGATCTAAGGACGTTACTCTGATAACTAGGGTCCAGATACTCTCAGGACATTCCCCTAGTAAGTAGGACCAAGTTACCCTCCACGTAACACATTTGTCTCGTCGAAAATAAATCCCTACTAGCCTAATACTGTTACTCTACCAACAAGCATAGTAATCGTAACGGACTCAATACAATCACGACAGAAAGGTCCTCGAATTCTGGCTCCTCCGAAAATGCTCTCTGTCTCTGTAGCCAGCATCATCAGCCCCCTACAAACGTGTCTGTCAGGAATACCGAAGGGGATGGCACGCGTACGAGTCGTTATCCGTCGGCTGGTAGAGGAACCAGCCATTCGCTTTGCCGGTTCTCTCGGTGTACAGGGACAAGAGAGTGTAGGTAGGGAGGGATGGTGATCAATCAGCCGGTGCTACGCACACAGTTTCCATCCCTCTATCGATACCATCCGCGCCGCGTTCGGAAAAGAAACACGAGCGATCGAAACGTTTCAGCTTTTAACTCGAAATCGTTATAATGATCACCGTGGCCGGGTGTACACGTACTCGGGGAACTGGTAACGGCAAAAAGGATCGTGATAGGATTGTCTGTTGTCTGTTGGATTGAATGTAGAAGAGGGAGAAAGAGAGAGATGGAGTTGAGTTCGATTGTAGCGCCGACGGTCTTGATCGGTCGATCGGTTTTTGCGGTCTTTTGAGCCCCTCGATGAAAATGTTCCCTGTTTGTAAGCTACCGTATCGGTTGCGTTCGCGGGTGAGAGGATGAGGCACGAGCGATTTGTTTTAGCTTCTGTTGTTGTTTCGTGGTGGCTGGTTTGAACCTGGAGTCTGGGGACTCTTATAAAATCCTACAGCTTATCACCTTGTTGGAATCGAGATTGTGGTGTATGTGCCTGGTGTAATGATATAATATTTGATAGAATATGTATTCTAAATATGGGCTAAGAATGTACTTTCAAAAGCTATTTGCCAAAGCTGCTGAAGATTTTTAAGATGTAATACTTTAATGTAACTAAAACACTGACTTTTTAACGAGGTTTATCACAGTGATAGACTTTGGAATTCTGGAGCCAATGATATTTGTCTCAGCTGCATACGACCATTAGTAATATGAAATATTTAATGTTCAGTGCCGAGGAGCCTTTGAACACTTATCGAGGATTTACTGTACCTACATGACCATTATATATGTAACCTACTAGTATCGAATTAATTTCAAAGTTTTGTTGGTAAAGAATATAATTACAAACTAAACTCTGAGTTCCGAATCCTATTTTCCATCAATCTCCTACCGAACATGTATCGACCTACAAATCCAAACGAACATCTAGATTCTCCATCTGCCTCGCGTTCACACGATTCCTCTTCCGACGTTCATCCACCCGAAGAAACAGCCATTCAAAATTGCCCAGAAAACCCAGGCAATCGAACGTTTTCTACTTAACCCGAGAACATTATTATCCCAAATGAAACTATCCAGCGCACTTGGGTGGTATAAAATCTCATAAAACCGAGCAAACGTTACTGCCGACATCGCCGAGAATCGTCTCTCCCGGAAGATTAGCCGAGAGAGAACTCGTCGAGCAGAGAATGTCGAGCGTGGGTAAAAATCGAGCCGCTTGGAAGGGGGACTACGCCCTCGTTGTTTCCTGGGAAGGGTGGGGGGGGGGGGGGGGGGG